TTTAAAAAAAAATACATATGGTTCAGAACAGATTAACTGTATTTACATTGAACCTTATGGGAAAATTTGATTCGGGGTTCGAACAATTCGGGTCGCAACCAGAGTCGCGGAACGAATTAAGTTCATGACCCGAGGTACCACTGTATCTTAAGAATTATAATAATTTTCAATGTCATGTCCTTGGAAGGAATGATGTGCTTCTCATTATTTTGTACCATGCAGAAAAAAAGGTTTCCTTTTTATTTCAAAATTCCTTTTAAAGGAGAAGATAATTTGATGAATTTTGGAGTAATTTTTCAAGGTCAAGAATGAAATGTTTGTCCTTAGTTCTGGGTGTGAGTACCCCATTACGCTGAACAATCTTCTCTTCAGCAACTTCCAGCCTCCCTGGATTTTCATACTTTGGTTAATTCTCTAGGTAAGAGATGATGAGGGACCTTCTCTCATTGGGCTTGTTCAGAAATAATGGGCAGCCAGGGAGGGTTCAGAGTGATGGGAAGGCACATAATGAAAAAGGACAGCCCTGGCAGTAGCAGACTCTGTTGTCATCTACAATACTAAAATAAGCTCAGAAACACCACCAACAAAATTTTGGAGTAAATTCTCAAGCACTTTAAGATTAGGGTAAAAAAGCTGAAGCCTCTTTTGGAAGGGGGAAATTTTTTTGAAAAAGTTAAGCACAGTGTTACTTCTGAAAAATTTGGCATTAGCCAGACCAAAAGGAGAAGAAATGTTCACCCAAACTGTGTACCAGAGAGAGTGGTGGCTTATGTGCAGCAAGAAAGAAGCAGTCTTTTCTGCAAGGTTTCTCTCTAGTTTAGTAATGATGACACATGTATGTTTCTTATCGTATATTATCCAAGCATTTGTAATTCCTAGCAAAAGTACACTCAAGAACATGAAAGAGTTTAAGGTCTGAATAAGGAACACCAATGAGAAACTCCAACAATAACATGAAGCAATTGCAGTGGGGAAAATGGTCCTGAATGGCAAAAATTCCACGTGAACAGCAGCTTGACCAAGATCTCTGGTGATATCCTAGCAGCCCATCAAAGTTTCAGCAAGGATGGTAGTTAGCACTGCAAATGTACTACAGTGTCCTGTGGTCTGCTCATGGCATGCATTTAATATCTCTGCTTGCACTCAGAATTGTAGATGACCAGAGAAAAATTGAGAGTTCATACATCAATCTAAATCATAGTTTGTTTAACCATGGCTAATGAAGAAACCAGAATTGTCTGGATTCATGCAGTACAAATCATGACTTAAAAACCATTGGAATTAGGTTCACACACATTCAGACAAACAATATTATAGCTTAACATGTGAAATAGGGCAAAATGTCTTACAACACATAATGCATCTGAACATTGCAAACAGGATACATTTATCTGCCAAACCAGACAACTTTGTTTTTAGGAGACATCACTGACTTCTAACACCCACATTCTCTTTCTAGATTATTCTTTCTTTTGGCTGTTACTCTAAATGCAGCTAACTTCTTCTAGGAACACTTGAACAAAAATGGGCTCTGATTACTCTTTACCTTTGGAGTCCCAAATGTCCTGGATGGTCTTTGAAACATTCAGATTGAAGGAAATGAAGTGTCCCCAAAAGGGGGTGCTTTCTTCTTGCTGAGTCCCCAAAACAGGAAAGCCCCGAACATGCAGCCTTCTTTCCAAGATAGCTAAATCTGTACCCCAAGTGTGATGGGATCCCTCGATGTGAAGACATATCAGAATCCTCTGCCCCCTGAGAAGGCAATTGCTTTGTGATAGTTCCACATATATAACATTCCAGTTTGGGGAGATTAGATTTCTATCCTGCCTTTCCTCCAGGAGCTCAAGAAAGCTTACCTAGAAATCCCTTCATTTTATGCCCACAACTGCAACCTCATGAGGCAAATTGTATTGAGAGTGAGTGACTCAACGTCACCCAATGAATTTCCATGGCTGAGAATGGCAACTCTGGCTAAAAGGGTCTGACAGCAAAGAAACTCTAGCCATGGTTCACTTATGAATGAACTTGAAACAAGAGTTTGAAGTAGGTTTCAGTTTTTTAGGAAGAGAGAGCCACAACTAAGGCCTATGACAGTGGACAATTGGAACATGAATGCTGGGAGAAGAGAAGAGGGCTATGCAATAAAGCATTCCATACACAGAGGCTCCTAAACACCGAATTATGTACAACCATTGTCCAATACTTCTCCTTTTAAAAAAATGAAGAAAATCTACACAGGAGAGAGGCTAGGATGCTTTATCCTTTCACATTTCTGTTATAAATCATCTCTTCTGGCCCTTTTCCACTATGGGATTCAAAATGGTCAGAACACTTTAGTCGTTTCTTTGTTCTCAATTCCGTTCTTCTACAGTGGCTTTTCTTTTGGAAGAAAGAAAAGTTTTCCTAGGCTGTCACTGCAAGCAGTAAAAGCTCCTTTTAAATGCAAGTCTGAAACGGGCATGATGCTCTTGAGTCCCCACAACACCATGAGGCTTCAGAAGCCAATGCGATTATTAGCTTAGTTCCTATTCCAGAGGAGGTGTGGCCAAGTCCATTTTCTAGCAAGTCCTCTGAAATAGTGGGGTGGGTGGTTTTCTCATGTAGTCAAGACACTGTTGGTATTTGTGCTCTCTTCTCTAGTGACTCAGAGGTGTCGCTTTGCCATTCCCCCAGCATAGTAGCCAGTTGTTTATTTATCAGTGAAAAAAGCAAATTTGGTTAGAGATGAACAGAGATGAGGCATTTCCCCCCACCTTTGGTTGGAAGGACAGTTGGCCAGCTCCATGGGAAGATGGGCTGCAGCTATGGGGACCCTTCTGCAATAACACAAAACTGCTTCTGGGGATCTAAGGGGTGAGGCTGGTGGCTGTGCAGAATTGCCTCTAATAGCACTTGGCCCTTCCCAGCAAAGGAAATATTATTCCCCAGTTGACTTGACATCTGAATTCTTTTCTTGCTATTTCACCACAATTGAAGGATAATCCAATGAGTCTATACTTGCAGTTAGTTGTTTTAACTATCTGACTATTCCTGTCTAATTCCAAAGCACTTCTTATAACCACACCTTCTGTATGATATGAATTTGTTTTTGTTTGAACAAGCAGGGGCTTAAGAAAACAGGATTTTTCAGGTTGCAGATTCAATTCTGTCATATTTTTCTTTCCAGGAGGAGAGATGCTGAGCTGCATAAGTTTGTTGAAAATATATTCTATCATCCTCTGTTCAAGTCTATTATGATCAGCAGCATCACACTCAATGCAATATTCTTGGCTTTAGAAACTGATTATAAAGTTCGTTATGAGTCACATTTCTTCCTGGAGGTAATGAATGCTGCTGCTGGCTGAACTGGCCACAATTCCTCATTTGACATTGATTGCTTTGAAGACATTATTTCTTTTCAGAAGAAAAGAGGAGGAAGATGGGGAGAAATATCAAGTTTCAAAAGACATTTCAGCCAATTCATGGAGGAAAAGGCTATCAATGTGTGATAGTTGCATTTTATGCCTAGCATCAATGGCATTTATAACTGTAAATATCAGTCATACAGGGCTGCTATTTTGCTCAGGGGCTGCTTGGAAGCTTCTGAGGGGCTTCTAGTTAGCCACGGAAGGAATGGCATGCTAGCCTAGATGGGCTTTGGGTCAGACCCACCAAAGCTTACATCCTTTTGTGTTCAAACTTTAAAGAACTGGTTGCCTTGAAAGCAATAACTTTTTGGGAAAAAAAACATCTGCAGGAAGAGAAAGGGATGCATAGTGACCGAGGCACAGACAATTCTGCTGAGTCTTAAGAATTGTGACTGAATTATTAATTTCAGTGATAGGAAATTAATACAAAGAGTATTAATTAATTAATTGCACTGATACAAAGAGTAGGTGCAGAGGGTGTGGATCATAGGAAAGGCAACGAAATTAAAGCCCAAAACCAGATTTGGGGAATGGGTATTGGTAAGTTAACTGCATGCATGCTGTTGGATTTAATTTAGTTATCACGGGAACTTTAGCTGAACTGGGGGCTTTTCACATAGTCAAGTACTATTCATTAGGGTGGTGTAATGTTTTAGATTGGAAGGTACAGAGATGCTCTGGAGTGAGCATGGGTACGCACGTGGTGCCCGTGTACAAGTCCTGAAACCAAACACATCTTATCCCAGGTTTGCAGTACAGCTGCGGAAGACAGTGATGCGATCCTGGGAAAGATCCAGCTGCTTTAAGGAGGTGCAGACAGGGGTTCCTGGAGCTCCCTTGCAGACCGTGAAACACTCTTTTGTCTTTGGATCCAAAGCCCTGAACAGCCATACTATTTATGCTAATTCTAAAGGCTTGGGGTTCTTCAAGGGCAGGAAGGTCTCCAGCAAAAGCAGTACTATGTAGCAAAGCTGTAAAGCCATTGTTAGCCTCCCTGGCACAGACCAGCAAGGTCCAAACGTAAGCAAAGATTCAACATGGCATGAGGCATCAAGCTGAAATCTGAATCCAAACTCAACCCACAAACCCATCTGCTACACCTCTAATCATAGTACTAACCAACACTTTAGTGCTGGGTCTGTGGCTTGCTGACTGAGGGCATTGAGACTCCTTTGTTCAGGCCATGCCCAAACTTAGTTATTAGCCCTTATGCCAACTAGAAAAATTGCTGATAAGTTAGGATTGACTCCTGAGCAGTTGCCTGGCTTGTGCACTCAGATCTTCCATGTATTCCCTTTCCCTCTCCCATATATTCCATAAGGCTTGGAAAATATTATGTTGCATATTCAGTATGATAGGGACTTGTTTATCTGGATTGTTTTTTTCCATCCTAGTAATCAGTATAATTTTCTCTTCACCCACTTCTTGGTAATCTGTTTGGAACTGAACATATTTTACTCTCAAGCTCAAAGAATATGAACTTGAAATGAAAATGTTTGCACTGTAATAACCTCTTCTCTCACAATTTAGCCTTCCTCTTGAGAAGCATTTATCTTTCACATACCTTGAATCTCTTAACTGACTTGAAGGGAGCTAATGTACACAAACCTCTTGGCTTTAATTATATATTCCACTGGTGTGGAAGCTGAGAGAAAAGCCTGGCTAATGTCAAGAAGTCCATTCATTGCTTTATTTTTAATAAATAATCTGTCAAGGGTTTTGGAAATGGGAGCTATATAGTTTTGCTTATTTATCAAACACTAACCCTTATACAACATTATCACCTTCCAATAGATTAAAAATAAAAAATAGAACTGATAGATCCTGCATCGTTTTATATATTAAAGTGACATCACTGATCTAAGATTGATGGAGCTAAGTTCAAATTTCTAGCTGCATATTAGACAACTAGACACAGGGTGGATACCATTTCCTGTACTGGACATTGGGTGCATACCATTTTCTATGCAAAACTTGTCTTCTTAGGAGGTCTTTTTTTAACTGAATGAGCCAGAATTTCAGCTCTGAAACCTGAAGATTCATTGATTAATTAATTAATTAATTAATTCACTCACTCACTCACTCACTCACTCACTCACTAACATTGGTATGCAACTCATAGTAGTATTACTTGAAGAGGTCTAATAGTCTGTTAGATGCCTCTCACTGAAGAATGCCTGAAATTCAGCCTCCCTCATCCACCCTCTCCCTTGGCCCTCATTGGTAGGCTTGCCAGATCTAGGCAGTAATAATCTGGATGGCCACCACATTATTACAAGCTGGTGAGGTTGTGCCCTGCCATTTTCTCTAGCTTTCTTCCTTCATGTCTTCTATCTCCCCAGCTTTCGTTTGTTTCTTTCTGGGCAGGAAATTCCACTCCCAAGTGAAGGACTGGATTGCAGTTGCCTGTTATTCTGTTCTGCTAAGATAAAGCCTTATCTGTGAGACCTAGAAGCCTTGGGAATCAAGGGGTTAAAGGCTGCTGTGCTTTGCTGCATATAAATTTCTCATTTATTTAAATTTTTCATTAAATTAATAATTCTTAAAAATTGAAGTCAGGTGGCACAACTGTCAAGGAGAGCCTATATGGGCCCATTGTGTCCATAATTCTCAAATTGCTTGCCTCAAATTACACCATGTGGTGGAAGAGCAGTAAAATTAAATAATCTAGTTGTTATTATTTAGTTCAAAAACTGGAGGGCAGATAAGCAGACAAACCTGAAAAAAATGACTAACTGTAATTTATAAGCTTTGAAAGGAAAAGTCCTTAATTAGGGAAGCTAAATATTTGCTCCCACTTTTGAGGAATCCTTTGTTTCTGGAACAATTCTCCTTCTGGGTTACCTGATGTTTAGCAGCATGCTATATATATGTGTGTATGTGTGTGTGTGTGTGTGTGTGTGTATGCACACATACATACATACATACATACACACACACATACACTGTATATATATATCAGCAACATATGAACAAACATGTTCCTTTGAACGATATCACTTACAAACCATTTCTTTCTTAGGTAGCAGATCTGATCATTTTAGCCATCTATACCACAGAATTTCTGATGAACCTTTACTTAGACCCAGTTAATTACTGGAAGGATGGTTATAAGCGTTACGATGCTACTGTCCTCTTCATTGCTTACCTCCCGTACACCATTGACCGTAGCAATCCGAAAATGCACCATGTTGTAACCATGCTGAAAGGGTTCCAGGCACTCAGGGTCCTCAAGCTGATCTACTATAGCCCGGGCATGACCGTAAGTAATGAGATACAGCTTTCCTTTTCCTGTTCAAAAGGAATCCCTAATTTGTTTTGTAGGCCTTGTGCAATGTTCCAGATCTCCTGTCAGCATTAATACCAAGATTCACCTTCAGGCTTTGGAAAGGGATCACATATTGGAATGCCTTTCTAAGACCAAGCCTAACATGCTAATTTACCATTAGAAGATTTTTAAAAATATATTTTTATCTTGGAAGCCTATATGATCCTCCTATATTAACCCCACATTTCCTGGATAGGGAAGAAGACCTCTCCATTCAAAACTCTTCCCATCAGAACTGATAGCACTGGCATGCTCTGGATCCCTTCCATCCAGCAAGGCCATCTCATGGGACCCAGGAAGCCTGTTCCACTGTTGTGGAGCTGTCCTGTGGAACAGCTTGAGCCCTGAGATTCAGAAGGTCCCAACTCTATTGGTCTCTCATAAGAATCCCTTGGCTGGCTGGGGAGTTCTGGGAGTTGAAGTCCACATATCTTAAAGTTGCCAAGGTTGAGAAAAAATGCCCTAGGCTAACAATCTAAGCCCCAAGCCATACTGGAAAGAAAAACCCAGTTTCAGATGAAGAATGCTGCTTCTGGTTCTCCTAAACACAAGCCATTGTGCTCAGCACTGAGTTAAACCTCGAGTAATTGATGTTCCGGTTCTTTTTATTAGCACTCTGCACAGCAATAGTAAACTTAAGACAGAAGTAGTAATTTCTATAGAACCTCTACTTTTTAAACAAAGCTGTTACAGTACTGTTGTTCCTACTCATCAATAGTGTTTATTATGAAGCAGCTGTCAATCTTCTGGGTCTTCTGCAGTATAATAACTCTTGCTTAATATGCCCTTAGAGGAAATAGTGAAAAGCACAGGGTCACCAGCTAAGAACTCCAAACAGAACTAACTCTTATAAAGTACTACAAATGACATCAGAACATACAATAGATTCTCTCAGGAATAGATGTGAATTCTGACTTGGGAATGTTGCTTGAGTTCATATTGCTGGTCATGGATTTTGGCTAAGATCACAAACATTTCTATTAACTCAAACCTGCAGAAAAGCCCATGCTGCCCACGTATCATATTACTCTAGGGACTGACGAAAGAATAGACTGGCTGCCTTTTCCTTTACTATAAGCATACGGATGCCAAATACATATGCCAAAGAGTGCCTAGTCAATCTGCTAGTTCTTTCAAGACAAACAGCTGTGGCTGCCAACAACATCTCACGCTTCAAATCCCAAATCCATTTGTTGGACTGTTCAGGTGTTTAGTTAATGGATTTCTGCAAACCCAGGATAAGGTGCTCATTGGTACCTCTGGATACAGCAAAAGAATTATTTTGTGATGGCAGATCAAAGATGATACCAATTTAGCAGTTCCCATGCCTTTTAGTATTAATAACACCAGATGCATCCACATTTCAGACATATTTGCACATTATGTTTTGTACTTCAGAATCCACTTCTGAGTACAAAACACAAGGACATGGTGTTATTTATTCATTGTGGTGATGAGGTTGTGCAAATATTGCTGAACAAATGAATAAAATCAGGGACTGGAAAAAGCAAAGGCCGTTGTGCACGCAGCTAAGATGCATTCATCCATCTATCTATCCGTGCTGCAGCAGGGATCTCTTTTAAGAAATCATTTCCAACCCAGCAGAATGTTGGAAAGAAATGTTGTAAAGGGGGAAGGACTCTGTCCATCACCCCAATCACTCTCAAAAAAGTGAATAGAACGGGACCAAATCTGGTGTGGGGAAGGAGCCAGCAAAAGAAAAATCAGGTTAAAAATGGGTTGAATCAGGCTGGGGGCTGCGAAGAAAAAACACCCAGAAAAAAAAATCTCCCAATATATCCCTATAGGAGGGGCGTTGGGAAGTGGCATGGAGTGTTGCTGACATTTTAACTCCCCTCCTCCGGCATGTGATCCAAAACAGAGCTATGCAGGGATTGGAAAGAATTCCAGAAGCGGTAATCTGTATGCTTTCCCTAAATTGCTTTCTCTGAAGTAGCCTGTGGGAATGCTGGTTTATTGTGGTTTCTTTTTCCACAATTAGGCATGCCATGCCATTGATTATCATTCTGTGAGATGGCAACTTTGCTTGAGATGGGCAAAGATACATCCAACTCCATGTCCTACTGTCCCATTTTTTTTAGTTTAAATCTTCCCTTTTTATCTTCATGTAAAACAGCCTTCCCTGTCCTGTGTCCTCCAGAGGTGGCTGGCAACTCTGAAGATTGTTGTCCTCCCACATCTGGAGAACATCCAGTTGGAAAAGATAGACATAAAGTCACAAAAATTGTATTCACTTGGTTTTTCTTTCTTGTGTTCCTCCCTTCTACAGAATCTGATGGCAGCTGTGGGCCAGACTGTGAAAAATGTGATCTATGTCCTTGTCTTGTTGTTCTTGCTAATATTTATCTTTGCTATTCTGGGACATGGTTTGTATGGAGACCGTCAACATGGAGACCCGCAGAACTGGGGCACTTTAGCAGCTGCCTTTTTTACACTCTTCAGCTTAGTAACGGTAATTTTACATGCATTTCACATCATGGTCAGCTCTGCTAGACTAACTATGCTAATATTACTGTTTTAGAGTGAGAGCCAAAATTGGAGACTTAGTTTCTCCAGGCTAGTTCTTTAGCAAAATGAACTTAGGCAAAATTTGGGGTACAGCTAGATTGAGTACCAAGAAGATCTGTGTGCTTATGAAAGGAGAAACAAGGGTCAAAACCTTGTTTATTTAAATCAAGGTCAATAACTTGTCAGGATTAGAAGTTTCTCCAATCGTGTTTGCTTTGATTTTGTTGGGGTTAGACTGGAGCAGGAAATAAGCCACTTTCAAGAGCTAAATTTTAATCTAGATATCACTCAAACTTTGTGGACTTGCACAGGCAAAACAGGACCAACGCCCGGTGTGAGTTTTGACAGTGCTCAAGCCCTGCCTATGATGCATGATTAGGCTTTAAACAAATTTTGTGACCCTTCTCTAAGTTGCTTCTGATGCCCCAGTGGATCAGTTTATGAACCTGATACAGGAATTTACTTGTTTCACTGAAAATTCAGAATATAATTTCACTAACTGCTTTCTTAGGATTAATAAAGCTGGTGTAGTTGCCAGAACTGATCTGGTGTAGTTGCCAGAAATGATTGTTCTGATTAACTTTGCAATAAGGATCTTAACTTCCCTGTAGTACCGTCATAATGTCTGGGTACACTTTGTGAACAGTATTACTTTGGCTTTAAAAAAATAAATAATCGCACTCTTCAGCTTAGCTTGTGCATGTGTAGAGCGAACATGCAAAGATCCATGCAGAAATAACCATAAACTCTCTGGATCAGGCCAAACTGATTTAGTCTAGCCTTTTCTTTCCACAATGACCAATTAAGTGTTGATGGAAGGCCCCAAAATGGGACACAGGCCAGGGGGTCCACAGGGAGGTCAAAAACATCAAGATGGCAACCACAACAATATAATCAAGTTCTGCCCCTGTTTTACATGCTGTGTGATATTTTGGTTGTGGCCACCACCTTGACTTTTTGACTTGCTCCCTGCAAGCACCCTGGCATGGACACATTCCTACTTTCTCATGTTCCCCAGCACGCTGCCTCTGGCTAATAGCCTTTACCCTGCTTAATCTTTTTTATGACAGTCGGAGACAACAGATAAAACAAACGTAAAGATAACTGAAGGAGCATACATGCAAGAGTGCAGTGAAATGTAGGAAACAGTAATGATGATCAAACTGGTAATTTTTGCTATTTATTAATAAGTGCACTCAGTTTAGGTATCACTAGGAATGTGTGTGTGTTGCAGGGGAGATGCATTGGACTAGAGAAATGATTTATCGGATGCTTGCGAGAGACATCTTTAGCTTGTAATGTTTAATTTGATAAATTTCAGGTTGATGGCTGGACAGACTTGCAGGAAGAATTGGATGCTAAAACATTTGTTACAAGTCGAACATTCACAATAATATTCATTCTCTTAGGGTTTTTTGTATTTTTCAATATGTTTATTGGAGTTGTCATTATGGGTATTCAGGTAAGTGGATAGCATTTTAAAATTTCTACTCAAACCCAGTTATTAGAAATAGGCATTGGGGATAAAAATAATGTCAACTATCACAGGATTAAAGAACCTCAAAATTAAAGCATTTCATCCACTCGATAGAAACCTCTTTTGGGGTATATGTTATCCTATTTTCTATATTTTTAATTTTGGTTTTTTTAACGTAACTCAGACTAGTCCCATACTTGATTCTGGTTTACCAAACCTCCTTTGGCTGAAAAGGGTGTTTATGTTATGTCTACCAGATCTGGTCTGCAAAACTTCAGACAACCACTAACTAAATGGGAACAAAGAATTAGAGGTTTTTGTATATATTTGCAGCCATCTAGCAGTTTTTCAGATTTTTGCACCCCAGATCATGTCCTGGAAGCAGAGAAATTCTGGACCCAGAAGTTCATGGTATCAATACTGAAAGTATGAATTAGTCATTTGAACAGATCAATATTATCAGTTTGCAAACCGATATATCACTATTTCTGCATGGTCTGGTATACACATAAGGCTAAAGCATTATAAATTTTGTTGAGCTTAACATGATGTGTGAACCCAACCATTACTGCTTAACGTTATGTAACTTAGCCACTATGGCTTAGTGAAAATACCATGGTTTAAACACTGTGTGTGGTCAGGCATGCTTTATTCACTAATAATAAACCATTGTCAGAGGTTGTTTTCCCACTGGTAAATTAGAGTGTCTTCCTCAGTCATCCAAACATGGTTGTGCCAAAATAATAGTACAGGTAGTCCTTGTTTAGACAGCCAGTTTGGTGAACTGGTTAAGGCATTAGGCTAGAAACTGAGAGACTCTGAGTTCTAGTCCCACCTGAGGCACACAGCCAGTAAAGTGACCTTGGGCCAGTTAAGAAAACTGCAGGGGTCTTTCCAGGCAGTTGCCAGGAGCCAACACTGACTCGAAGGCACCAAAAAAAAGAGAGTCCTCTTTTAGTGACTGACATGTAGCGACCGTTCACATGTATGATGGTGATGAAAAAGTAACTTTGTGACCGATCCTTAAATTTATGACCTTTGCAGGTCTGTAAAGCAAAGGAAATCTGAAGTAAGATCATAAGTACAGTTGCAGTTTCACTTAGTGACTGCTTTGCTTAACGAATGAGTTGCCAGTCCCAGTTGTCACTAAATGAGGGCTACCTGTAATGAGGAAAGACTTTATGATTTCAGTGGCTTGGGTGATGCCATGAAGATACTGTAAGTCACAAGTGGGGAAATGGTCAGAAATTCACCCTGGCCACCTGGACAGCCAGATAACATAGGAACTGAGGAAGTAGAAAGAGAATGAGTACACAGATGGAGAGAAAACTTAAACTTGCAAAGAGAAAACAAATTGTCATTTGAGATATGGCCAATGCTGCAGCTGATTTTAAATTGCTGCTGCTCACAACTTAACCGATATGGTTGTAAATTGTTGTAAATGAGTTACCCAGCGTGTTACTCTGCTCTCCAGTTTTGTCCTGTCATCTCCAGTCAGTGAGGCCATTCTTAGTAGGAAGCTAGATGCAAGTGGGGCCTTTGTCTCAACATCCTTTCGTCTGATATGTGCAGAATTCAACTGAGCGATATGAGCAAAAGCTGAAAGAAGAAAGGCAGACTACTCTGATTACAAAGAAGCAGGCCATCTTAAAAAGACAACAGGAAGAAATATATGAGTTGTTCAATCTACAGGTAGGCTCTGTATTTTATATAATATTCTTCAATAGATAAGTCTCCATTAACTAGTTACTGTATCATCAACTCAAGTTTTCATCAATGTTTAGAAGTAAAGCTGTGGTTTATGGCTCATCTGCTTCATAAAGATGCCCAACTGACCATTTCTTGTTGACATGTCATGACAACATAGACTCCATCCCACTGCCAACCTGCTGCTGAAACAAACTGAAGCTGATTCAAGGTGTTCTAGCAAGCACATTGTGTTTTTCCAGTTATTGGGCCAAAACACCTCCTTTCGAAACAATCCACAGAAGCTTTCAGAAGTCAGTGATCAGCTGAGCTCTTTTGACCTGCCAAGTCTGCTGTGGGACTGTGACCTCCCATCCAGCCACTGATTGTGCACCTGTAACGATCTGCCACCTGCTGATCCCAAATCCAGTAACCTTCCTTGCAACCAGTATTGATTCAAAAGAAAGTTCATTTT